CCCCCCCCCCCCCCCCCCCCCCCCCCCCCCCTGGACGATCCGCCCCTGGACGTAACGTCTGTTTGGCTGAGGAAAACTAATATATACCATTACATTCATCTCTTGAATAGGATGTTGACGATATAAAGAAGATCGACAAGCTTGATAGCGAGCTGTTCACTAAAGAGTGGTTTGAAACGAAAAGAGGCTATGTCAATCAGGTAAGTGTATGGATCTTAGTATTGCAGACTTCTGATTAAACTTCCAAAAAAAACTTATTTTATTTCCGCGATGAAGTACGTTATGTTGAAAGAAGAACCTGGTGACGAGCTTGCTTGCCGCTGATAAGTGGTCGGGACCGCCGTTTCGCTGCTTATTTTCACTGCTCCATGATCCGAGCTTGCGTTGAAAGTAAAATAACTAATAAGCCACAATATGGACCAAAGCAAAATAAATATGAAAACTAGTTCCGCCCGTTTGTTTCCAAAAACGACCGCAATATGCTTCGATTAATTTTTCTTACTATAGGAGTATAGCGTACTAATACTAGTAATAGCGACTGCTGTTTTCTAAAGTTGTTTTTGAGAAAATAACTTGAATTGTAGTTTAAATTTTCTTCGTGTCGACAAAATTCTATTTTATTCATAATATTAGAATGACATTTAGAAATGTTTAAAACGGGTATAATCAATCATGTAGTGTATGGGATCTGAATTAATTTAAAGTACAGTGCCACTAACCCCAAAACAATTACTAGAATATTAAGAGTCGTTATTGAGTGAATTAGGCCAGCTATAAAAGTATTATTGGGCATTATTTTGGTGTTATACTCTTCTATATCTGTATAGACCACCAAAGGTACAGTTGTTCACTTCATTAAGAGATACAATACTAGAAATACATGCATGCAGCAACCAGCCGCATTTCTTAACAGATGAAGTATAGAAAATCTACATGAAGTATTCATGTTTAAAATAATAGTAGTCGCTATGGTAACGTGAAAATTATATGAGAAAGTAATAATCTGGCCGTGCAGTTTTATGTTATGTTTTTTCGGCTAAAACCGGTTTGGAAACTTTGCCGTGAAAGTGTGAGACTGCAGGGGAAACTCAAAAACTTATTTTGCCGATAGTAGTTTGCTCGAAAATACGGTAAATACTGATTTACTTTATAGGCGGAAGCTAGTTTTTGAGTTTTATTTTGGTCAAGCCATATTTCCTGTAGGTAAAAGACCATTATAGATACATATATACAACACGCTGCATTATTAAATTGCCCCAAATAAACAGTTATACTATTACATTACAATTCAATGTAATTAGTAAATACGAGGTCGGCTATATTAATGGCATTGCGAGTCTGCGAGTTGCGAGTCGCGAGTCTGCAAGTTGCGAGTCTGCGAGTTGCGAGTCTGCGAATTGCGAGTCTGCGAGTCATAGCACAGGACCCCAGTTTATTTTTCTATTCAATAGTTTAATAGTGTAATAGTTATATAGTTGTTTATATTTTTAGCCCGCATAGCATTGGGCCATTCCGGCGCGTCTGCTCTTGGTGTTACTATTAAATATAGAAGAAAGGCACATATCGCCCAAAATAGGTTAGACTTGCATACGACGCCTAAAACTTTGTTCGATTTTTCGACTTTAATTGCATTTCTTTCGAATTTAATCGATATCCCCGGCAAGAATGATAACATACAACTCTCAAAACAAAGATGCTTTAATGAAAGAGCTTAATGCGCTTCAAAATACTCGAAGGAACGACAAAATTCGGCTAAAATATATCCGAGGCATGTAGGTTCTGTGCAGTAAACAGGAAGTCGTTAAGCCACGAATTAACCAACATATTCAACTATATTCTCCTACATGCCTCGGATGTATTTTGGCCGAATTTTGTCGTTCCTTCGACTATTTTGAAGC